ACTTGAACTTGGACTTAAAGCCTCCAAATTGTAAGAATAAACTCCTGTTTGTTAAGGCCATCCCATTTGTGGTATATTCTTGTCAGAGCAGCACTAGGTAACCAGAACAAGAGACAAGTAAACCTAATTCTTTTATGCATTAAAATACTTTTCAAAATTGTAAACATTAAAAAATTATTAAAGAAATATGCCCAAATTATAAGTTTCCAGCTTAATGAATTGTCACAAAGTACACATGCAAATAAAAACTAGAACATAACCACAGAAGAGAAGTGACCCCTTCCAGGAAAAACTTGTTGCTCAAAAGTAACCTTTATTCCAGATCTCTAACATCCTAATTAGTTTCTTTTCATCTTGAAGTTTTATAAATAGAATTATAAAGTATGTTCACATTTTCCTCTCTTCTTTTACTCAAAAACACGCCTTAAGCGTTACATGTGTTGCTGTATGTATTTGTAGTGTGTCCATTTTCCTTCTGAATAGAATTTCATTTGATTACTCTTGATGGACATTAAAATTGTTTCTAGTTTTGGGGTTGTGTTGGTTAATATTATGTATCAACTTGGCTTTGTCATGATTCTCAGTATTATGTAATTATCCTCCATATTGTGACCTGATGTAAAAGGAGTTTCCTTAGGGGTATGGCCTATGTCTAATATCCATGGTTGTTTTGGCAAAGCTCACCTTCTTTCGATCCTGCATCCAGCTCATCATTCTCTGACCTTTGGTTCTTGAGACATGAGCCAGCAGCCTGTCATTTGACATGCATATTTTTGGATTCACTAGCTCCTATAGCCCTGTGACCCAGTGACATGCTGCCTGATTGGCTGATTCTTTGTTAGCTTCTACAACCACATGTGGCAGGAGAAGCCTCCAGCCTGACATCTGCCTGTGAATTTAGCACTCACCAGACTTCACAAATGTGTGAGCCATTTCCTTGATATATATATATATATATATATATATAAATATATATATATGTATTCCATATATATATGTATTCTCCATATATGTATATATATTGTTATGTGTCATCAAGTCAGATTTGACTCATACCGACCCCTCCTTGGGTTTCTGAGGTGATATCCCTATGGAAGTAGATTGCCCAACATTCCTTCTGAGGAGTGGCATAGATACACATACACACACACACACACACACATATATTTTTTTTCCAAAGGGTTAGCCAAGATTTTGACAAGGAGCTCTGAGGGTGCAGTGGTTAAGTAATTGGCTGCTAACTGGAAATTTGGCAGTTTAAATCCACTAGCTGCTCAGTGGGAGAAAGATGTGGGACATTTTGGTTCCATAAAGATTATAGTTTTGCAAAGAGTTCTACTCATAAGGTCACTATGAGTTGCAATCCACTCAACAGCTATGGGAGGATTTTGATAGTTTAGTCATTCACTATTTATTGACAATTGACCTTTCTCATGAGCTGATTTTTGTATCAAAGATGAATAAAGAATGACCTTACTCTACAGCTCACAGATTAATGAGGGACAAAGGTGTATGAACAGATAAGTTTTAAACATTAATTTTTGAAAGGGGACTAACAGTGCCCAAGAGGCTCAGAAAGGCTTCACTAGATGTTGACAGTTGATGTGAAGCTTGAAAATGACTAGCAATTTGTCAGAGGGTGTTGGGAGAAGGCACTGTTGGACCAAGTAGTAAAACATTCTCAGGGCCAGCTATGAACTCTGAACTTTAACATACAGATAATGTGAAGTCAATACTCAACAGAAAAATGACTTGGTTAGAGCTTTCTATTTTTAGGACAATAGATGTGATGACAGAATGGTAGATAGATGAAGTAAGAGTGATGGGGCAAATAGACATGCATGTTACATATTACCCAGGAGTGGGAAAGGGGAACAAGGTAAAAGTTGAAGATGGATTTGAGGAAGAATTAAGAGAGCAACAACATTTCTAAGATAGAAATGAAAAGAATTAGGGACTGCTTAGATGCAAAGGATAGAAGGACGGGATTCAGGATAATGAATTTCCATGAAAATTAACAACGATAAGCTGTGTAGGCTGCATTATGAAGGAAGACCTAGGGCGATAAGGTTGCTTAGGATGTTGGAGAAAGTGGTAGGAGAATGGAAGGTAAAAGAAATGCTGAGAGATGGCATACATATTTCATGGGAAAAGCAGGAAGCACAGAGAACTCACTTCTACTTTAGTTTTGATGTAAATATGTAAAAGAAAGGAGCTCTGGTGGCATAGTGCCTAAGGCACTTGACTGCTAACTGGAAGGCTGGAGGTTCAAACTCACCAGCCACTCCTCGGAAGGAAGGTTGGGCAATCTACTTCTGTAGTGATACTGCCTTGGAAACCCAAAGGGGGGTTGCTGTGAGTCAGGGCAGACTGGATGGCACATAACAACAACATGTAAAAGAAAAACCAGAACCCAGTTAAGGCCAATTGGCCTAATTTCCAAGGACAATAAGTAAATGCTGGTTTCTACTTGCCTATTTTGCTAAAAAGCAAAACAAAACAAATGGTGCCAAGTTGATCCTGACTGTCCTCTTGGAATCTCTGATCCTGATGGGTAGTTAAGTGACAGAGTAGTGGCTTTACCCTGGTGAAGAGTAAGATTTTGAATCTTCAAATGTTTAATGCCAGTTGATCAGATACTTGAGATTGGGAATGCATTCCTTTCCTTATAAATTCAAAGCCTAACCTAAGGCACTTGACTGCTAACCAGAAGGCTGGTGGTTCAAACCCACCAGCCACTCCTTGGAAGGAAGGTTGGGCAATCTACTTCCATAGTGATACTACCTTGGAAACCCAAGGAGGGGTTGCTTTGAGTCTGGTCTGACTCAACAGCACATAACAACAACAACAACAACTCATTGGCTATTTACATTATAAAACAAGAAAATATTTATTTATTGCAACAGAGACTGGTCTAATTAACACATTTTTTAAAAAGTTTTCTGTGACAGATTTTACATAAGCAAGTGGAATTTTTCAAGTAGGGTTTTTTAAATTAAGATTTTTGTTGGCTTCAGTTTTTCCATAAATATGGAAAATGTCTAATTTGAAACTTTTCATGATCAATTGGAATAGAAATTCTGATTACTGACCCTATCCACAATTACCCTTTTAGTTTCTTCTTGGTGAGCCATAAAAATGAAGACTACAAAAGAAAGTTATGTGCCATTTTTAATATAATTTTTCCTAAATATCATTTCCAAAATGTCACACGCACCATCTTTTAACAGTTTTTGTGGGATATAATGCATGAAAGAAAATTCCAATAATATAATGTACAAAACTGTTGTCACATATAGAATAAAAATCTATGTTTTGGGGACTACTGCTGTGGGAAGAATGGTCTGATCTTCATGGAAATCTTCTTCATTGAATACCATGACCCCTTCCAGTTCATCCAAACTACTCCATCATCGGTGCTGTGTTTTGCCATGTCCCAGCTGTAATGCCCACCCCAGTAGTATCTGCCATTTGGATTGGCTGCATGACATCTGTTATACCACCATCCACCACCATCCTCTTTAGAACACTGTTTACTTGGATCTGTAGTTGTCCTGAAAGAAAGTGTGTTTGAGGTTATTAGAAGTACAATTACAATGCTGGGTACCCACAGAAGACTACTACACTCAATGTGTACAATATTCTTTCCCTTGACTTCTATAAATAAAGTCACACTAATACTCCAAATATCTTTTCTGCCTTATACCAAAAAAGAGAGAGAACTAGGCCTATGTTGCAAATTCCTCTAGGGATTACGTTTATTATTTCATACTGCAATGATAACATGCAGATCCCTTAGTAAAACCAAATGAATTTTTTAATATACACATTAGGATATGGAGATATAGATACTTTTTTAAACACTTATAAATCAGAAAGTAACTGTGGATTAATTCAAGTTCTCTCAGTAGTTGTATTATTTTGGGTAAATAATCTCTCTAAACTTCATCTATAAAATAAGAATAACAATTCCTACTTTATAGCTGAAATCCCTAAGTGTTATGTATATAAAGAGCTTACTACAGTGGCTGACACACAATAAATCCCCCAAAACAGTTAGTTATTAATAACTGTAGCTATTATAAATGATTTTGAGTAATAACATTGGTAGTGTCTTTTAAAGCAGGAAAGAAGAATTTAACACATACCAGCCATCATTGTCTCTGTCATATGTGCTGAAGTACATGCCATTGTGAATGGTCATGGTTCTGTTTTCTCCCACCAGTTGAGAAGCTCCATCCATGAGGGCATTGCCAGCTGTTCCTTTGTACTTGCTCACTGAGAGTTGGTATTTACCAGCCTCACTCTGTACAGTGAATCCTCCATAGAGGGCCTTTACCTTATCTCCTTTCCAGTCTTCCATTTCAATTAAAAGTTCTGTGGGTCCCATTTTGGTAAGCTGGCTAATTTTATCATTTCCAAGCCAATATTCACCTAAAGGGAAAAATAAAATAAGACTTCACCAAAAATAAAACCTTTGAAAACTAAAAAACAACTACCTTTCCTTCCTTATCTTTAGTACTCTTATCTTTTGTAATTAAACTCCTCTTAACTTCCTTAAACTCCTGAAAATAGATTCCCAACACTTTGTTTTTTAAATGGACAAAAAAGCCCAACAATTTAAATAGAAGTTTGGTTTTTACTCCCAGTTTTACCTGGTAGGCCACAGAAATTTTTGCCTTCTCCATTGGTTGCAATATTTCCAAATCCTTGTTTATAAGGATTCCATTTCCTGCCAAAGTCAACACTACCATCTTGGCGGTTCTGAATTACTGTCCATCCTTTGGTGGAAGTAAACAAAAATGGCACATATTAACCAATAACCAATAATGTCACTTTGAAGGGAATACCTAAATCTTTTGTCCCTTCCATGTTTTTCATAGGCAAAATAAATACAATAAGGAAATAAACAGGAAAGAAAAACTCCTAAAATCTTTGTAAGGAAGTGCTTCATCTGACTCCACACTGTGAATAACAGATATTTTATACTTCGCTAAAATATCAGAATGAGTTCCAAATATAACATCTTAATGCTACGTACATTAGAGTTAGCCCTTTATTGGCCCTTTATGGTATCATAATAATCACAGAACAAGAGAACAACTGTCAAAAACTTACCTCCATTTTCTGTGTTCATATCACAGTACACTCTATATGGTTTGCTGGAACTGTCAGGCTGAATGAGATACATTTCAGATGTTTCACCTCCTTTCCTGATAATTTCCTCACATTCTGCAATCATATGATAATATATTCAAAGACCTACAAAACCTTTTCTGTGGTTTTATCACCAATTCTATAATTCACCAACTGATCATATAAGTTACTAAAGAATGTTTTTCAAACAATTACAAAAAATACTAAATTGCATCTTCCTATTACTGAAAATCAAACTCTGTTTTGAAGAGTTCTTTCTGCCATGGGGATGAAAACAACTCTCCTCCTCCTTTTGAGCTCTAGGGCATCCATAAACTTCCAGGGTATAGAAACACTTCTGTATCTATCTATGGCCCTGCCATCAGTTCCAACAAGCAGGTACATACACACATCAGCTACCCCTGGAGTCCTCATCATCATTGTACTCCATCTTGCTCATCAAAATCCAGCACAGGGATTGAGTCAAGTCAGAACACAACATGTCAAAGATATCCTCATGATATTCATATCTGCTGTGATGTCATTAGGAACTGTTTGGAATATCCACTAGACTTTCCTTTTTTTTTTTTTTCCTCTTATTCTTAGAAGGTGTGAGTTCTTCTGGAATCCTACAGAAATATTTGTTACCTTTGCCAGACACCACAGGAACATTACAGCTGACAGTGCATGGTGTACGACAGTATTCCATCTGAACTGAGACATCAGATTCTAATTTTTGTATTTTGTTTCTCAGGTTTTCCAGGATTGAACGGAGCACACGGAGGTTAGTTGGGACATTATTACTCATAGTCTCCTCTATATACAATCTCTCCTTTTCTAGCTCTGAGGAGTATTCGTTTATCACATTTTCGTTATCTGGAAAAATGAAAAAGTTTTAGAAATGGTATTTTTATCTCACAAAATGGTAAAGATTTTCAACTATAAGATTGTGATTTTGATATTCTGAGAATAAACTAACACACATTAAGCTACCATCAGGCTGTCATGTTATGGAGTTGTATTTGGGGGACATTATTTGGTCTGTGTCGTATACAAACTAACATGTAGTCTGCCTTAGGTATAAGCCCAAAATCATGACTAATAATAAATTCAATAAGTTGCTTATTTTTTTGGTGATGAAAAGAGGAAAGAGCAGTATCCAGGCCTTCTCACTAAGAAATTTAACCCCTTCTGAGATGGAAGCATTTGATCCCATTCCACATTAAGTACAGGAGAGCACTGACATTTATAACACAGCACAATTCCTTTGAAAAATCTCTAAATTTGTGTTTGTTACTAACTGGGTTATACCTCTACATAAAGAAAACAAATATCCTCACAACTGGACCAATAATCAACAACAAAATCAATAGAGAAAAAATTCAAGTTGTCAAGAATTTCATTTTACCTAGATCCACCATCAATAACCCACAGGAGTAGCAATCAAGAAATCAAATGACACTTTGCATTAGGTAAATCTCATTCAAAAGACCCCATTAAAGTATTAAAAAGCAAAGACATCACTTTGAAGACTAAGGTGTGCCTGACCCAAACCATGGTATTTTCAATTGCCTCATATACATGAGAAAGCTGGACAAAGAATAAGGAAGGCCAAAGAACTGATGCCTTTGAATCTGAGTGTTGGTGAAGAATATTGTATATACCATGGACTGCGAGAACAAACAAATCTGTTTTGGAAGAAGTACAGCTGGATTGCTCCTTAGAAGTGAGGACAGTGAGACAAAGATCAGTTCCTGGAGAAGGACCTCAAGCTTGGTAAAGTGCAGGGTAGCTAAAAAGAGGAAGACCCTCAATGCTATGGATTGACACTGTGACTACAGCAATGGGCTCAAACACAGCAAAGATTGTAAGGATGGCCCAGGACTGGGCAGTGTTTTGTTGTGCTGTACAGAGGGCTATTATGAATTAGAACCTACTAGATGACACCTGGGAGCTCTGGTAGCATAGTGGCTAAGACACTTGCCTGCTAACCAGACGGCTGGTGGTTCAAACCCACCAGCCACTTCTCGGAAGGAAGGTTGGGCAATCCTACTTCCATAGCGATACTGCCTCGGAAACCCAAGGAGGGGTCGCTATGAGTCGGGTTTGACTCGACGGCACATAACAACAACAACAACAACAGATGACACCTGGGAGCTCTGGTAGTGTAGTGCCTAAGGCACTTGACTGCTAACCAGAAGGCTGGCAGTTCAAACCCACCAGCCACTCCTCGGAAGGAAGATGGTGCAATCTACTTCCGTAGTGATACTGCCTTGGAAACCCAAGGAGGGGTTTCTATGAGTCGGCACAGAACAACAACAACAAAAGATGACACCTAATGATAACAACTAACTGAGAAGCCTACGCTAGGCTCACTCACTAGCTGATATCCAACCACTAAGCCAATAGCACCAATATTAAGATTCTAAAGTTAGGTGTCATTATCCCCAATACAACTGAGTATATCACAGATGACTCTCGCATAATCAAAACCTTGAGTGTTAGATCTATAAATGTTGAAGTACTCTGTGAATATTATTGTCTGAATCACAGAACAAGCTGCTTGGAAATTCAAATTGAAGAAATCATGGAGAAATTTTTCATAGAAAAATCTTCCTTGCTGATGCCAAACTGGGAATGAAAGTTTAACAGCCCAGAGTGGGCAAGTTTCAGGGGAAGTTGTCTAACTAAGGACCTGAAGGTAATCAGGCTTATACTGAAAGTAATATGAATACTACGTAGGCCAATCTAGAAATTCATCTTCTCATAATCATGCATTCCCGTGGCAGTCTGACAGTTTCAATTTTATATCTGAGAATCAAATAGAAAACACAAGGGTTTTTATTTACCTTTTAATTGCTTCTGCCTCTTTTTCCACATGTCTTTTAGCAGAGTCACGTACTGGAAGGTGGTAGAAGACGTCTGGGAGACAGACTCCACATTGTTATTTAACTCATCAATACTTTTTCTTACTGGTCTTTCCTGTTTCACCAAAGTGTCTTGTAACTGACATCCTGTAGGACACAACACTCCCTGGAATCAAAGGAAATACCAGGCATGAGATGAAGGATTTGGGTGATGGATAGCTATTTGTTAAAATAGCACAAAGTAAAAATTCAATGATATCATTAGTCTATACAAAAACTTGTAATTTGATTTTCTTTCTTTGAAACCAGAAATTTTATAATTATCACTATATTCTCATGAAGATGAGAAATACTCCTTACCAGAGAAGAAATGTAATTAGGCTACAAAAATTTTAATCATTCCCATAAAGGAAGTGGGCAAAACACAAAAATAAAGACAACACCTTCATGTTCTAATTTGTAATTTTAGGCCCAGACCAAAGAAAACTAGAAAGGAAGCCTAAGTCAAAGGCCCAGTAAGTTTATGCTTTGCATTTTATTACCAAAATAGACAAAATAGCAATGATGGCAACATGGGCTAATGCAGCATTAGCAAGCCACAATGGATATAGGATTTCTCTGAATGGGGCCTGTCTACTGTAAGAAGCATCAGTGTACCCACCAGATCTGCATCAGCGTGAAGGCAGCCCCCAGCATCAGGGGCTTTCCTTTCCAGTTTCTTGTGGCTGGCGACTGCCTTGGCTGGACGAGCCTGATAGCCTTCTCCACCAATGGGAGGTGGGACGGGCCTCAGGCTGGGAGCCTCTTCCCTCTTCTTGTCACGGGGTCGATGGCCACGGGCATCCAATTGTTTCTTCAAGGAACCAGATAGAGATAAAATGCAGGGTGTTACAGAACATTTGAGACATAACTATTCAACACCTTCCTTTTTTAAATGAAGATATCACAAGCTTGATGATTTGCATAATCACCAACTGGATAGTTTGTGTGGCAAAACAGTAGTTTGCATGGGTCTCTAGTAACAGTAGAAAAGCTAACTACAAAAAAATGTTGCACCTGTGATAGTTTTTAAAGAAAAGTCCTAAGACAAAGCTGCATCAGACTATGAACAGTAATGACATCAAATTCCTGAAACCTGTAAATTAGAACACACAAAATAGTAAGATATAAGATATTTGGGCAAGGTACTTTGTGCCCTAGTTTTCTCATCGGTAAAACAGGGATAATAAATAACTCTTATCTGCTTATAAGGTTATCATAAAGATTAAATAACTTATTGCTTATGATTCACTGAGAACAGTACCTGGCACACAGCAAATGTTCATTATTATTATTATTGAAATCACACATTAACCACCACCACCACCACCACCCATAAAAAACCAAACTCATGACCATCAAGTTGATTCTGACTCACAGCAACCCAACAGAACAGAGTAGAACTGCCCCATAGGGTTTCCAAGGCTGTAAATCTTTCTGGAAGCAGACTACCTCATCTTTCTCCTGTAGAGTGGCTGGTGAGTTTGAATCATAGACCTTTTGCTTAGCAGCCGAATGCTTTAACCGCTACACCACCAGAGCTCCTTACATAACAGATACTATAGTTTAAACATCTTCTCCACTGCTAATTTCAATTTGATTATTATCTTCTATTAATAAATTATTTGATAAATTATTCTCATAAAGTTTCTTACATGATTTCTTTATTAACAGCATGATTTTCTTGTGTGCAAAACAAATTTTCAAGGTATGTGCAATGCCATTAAAACTATTTGCTAACTTAAAAATATGACATTAAAAGATAATGAAGTGAAAAATATACAATATATATACAATATAAAGATTTTGACTTGAAGTAACCATATGTTCTTTGTCAGCAGTTACAATGTTTGACAAATGAACAAATGACAGGATTTGAAGCAGCTCCTGAGCTCTCTTATGATTTCATAGCCATACCAAAAAAAACCCAAACTCACTGCCGTCAAGTCAGTCCTGACTCATAGCAACCCACTGGGTTTCAGAGGCAGTATCACTATGGAAGTAGATTGCCCAGTCTTCCTTCCGAGGAGTGGCTGGTGGGTTTGAACTGCCTTCTGGTTAGCAGTCAAATGCTTTAGGCACTATGCCACGAGAAGCCATCAAAAAACTATTTGCAGTTTTATTGTCATTTATTCATTAAGGTATAAGTTATGGTAGTATTTTTAAGTAATTTATTTATTCATTAAGTTATAAGCTATAATAGTATTTTTAATTAGCAGGAATGTAAGGATTTAAACACAGACAAGTTGTTTAAACCTGGCCTAACTACTGAACTGTGCATGCTTAATATGTGAAGATTTTGAGGAAATATACATATCACATATTTCTAAAACATGGTTCCAGCCAGAGGTCATCTGATCTAACAGGAATTATATGAGATGTGATTCACCTGTTTATTACAAGTCAAATTATAACAGAAGAATAATACTTTCCTTTTATTTTAGAGTACCTTTAGAAAGGTAGCATGGATGGTCTGAGTGTTATAGACATTTGAGACCAAAAAAATTTATGTGGGCATTGAGGTCCATGAAGACCACCTACTGAAATAACAAAAACTAGAAAATCCACTTTGTTCCTAAACTATTAAAATGTCTCTGTGAGGATTAGTTGGTGAGCATAAATGTGAAATTGTTTAGCAAAGTTTTTACAAAAGTTTACTCTTACACATTCTTTGCTTATTTCTTATCCAATGCAATTTGCCAGAAAATTATCTTTTTATATACATCATCTGATCATTGCAATGCTTTGGTTCCCTTCAAATTCTACAAATGATCTGAAATAAATCACTGTATTTCAATATTATTGTGTATTCTATGTCTAGTGTGAAGATACTATGCTATATACAAGAAACTTGATCATGATTTATTTGATAATAAAATTTAAATTTCTTAAATACCTATTTTTCCAAATGCATTTCGGCACTTTTGATAACTTCAAACCAATAACAATATGTCAGTTAAGACACTACTTGAGAAAAAACTTTTTCAGGTGAATTAAATTTGAGTAATATATTTCACAACCATTAATAACAACAATGAACATTACTGCTGATTTAAATTTTCTCATCTGAGAAAACAATAATTCATTCACTATCAATACATTTTATTCTGCTTTGAAATTAGGTCGTAATTCCCATTCATAGACAGCCAGTAATTTCAAGAACTATTTGTTACCCTCCTTCACCAAAGAACAACCCAGCCCAGCCTTTTCCTTTTAGTATATTTCCACTATTGTATAGTCCGTAAAACATTCTAAGTTTTGTTCTTATAATTGTAATGATGTATTGCTAGAACTAAATGTAAATCACAAGACTCAGGATAGTAATAAGTAAGAAAAGCACATCTTACCTTTTCCACGTCACTTTCCCCCTGGGAAAACAAAGGTGATAAATCAGCAAACAAGAAATTATTATTTTATTTTTATATAAGAAATACTATGAAACATTCTTTAAATAAAATGGGTCCCTGAAATTAACAATTCAATTTCATAACTAAAATCAATGCTAAATGCTTTCAAATAAACATTCACATCTGATTATGATTCATTACATTTCTACCAGTTACTACTATTACTACTAATAATAATATAATAACATTTTAAAGCAATCACCCATGAATCGTAGTCTGAGTCTAACTGGGACTTAACTACAGAAACACACAATAGTAGCAGTAATAGATGTTTCATGATTTTTAAGTTTTGGAAATTCCAGGAAGCCAGCCTTTGCTAGTGGATTTAACTGAGATATCTTGGATCTTATATATACCTGCCTCCTCTGCTAGATATGACTTTAGAAATGGTTACCTTTCCTTAGTTAATATTTAATTTTTTGGTTCCCTTGCTGGCTGAACCATTTTATCACTTAAGCAAGGGCTTCCCAGCAAGACTTATTTACTTGTCCTACAGCTCAATCTTTTCTGTTGGCTGAATTTAGAAATACTAAAGTCTCTCAATTCATTTAATTGAGCAAAATGATGGGAAATTAGGACATTGCCCATAGACATGTGTATCACATTTCTTATAAATTAATGTGGATGTTTCAGAGGCTCTCGAAAATGTATGAGAAAAAGAATTTTTAATACAGGTACAATAGGCACTTTCATTAATGTTTCCATTAAATTATGAGCTCACTAAAGACATACCATAAATGTTCATGTTTTAGAACTCTATGTAATTCAGTTTTAAAAGGGGTCATTAAAATCATGAATAATGTTATATCACCATGTATTTATCTCGTCCTTTAGAAGTTAATAAAAAAATATATATCAATTTATGTGTTATGCTGACAAATATCAGAAAGAAAAGGTCCAGATTTCCTTTCTGCTCTGACCACCTTTCATATTTTGCCCTTTATTAGCATAAGTTAAAATGTTCCACAAGTTCTAAAAGTCATTAAAATAATTAGTACATTAACCAAAACCAAACCTGTTGCAATCAATTCTGACGCATGGCGACACCCAGTGTTACAGAGTAGAACCAAGGGTTTTCTTGGCTGTAATCTTCATAGAACCAGATGACCAAGCCTTTCTTCCCGGAGCTGCTGAGTGGGTTCAAACACCCATTCTGTAAGTTAGCGGTCTAGTGCAAATTGTGCCCCTAGGGAAATCAGCAGATTACAGATCCTTAAATCAAAATTATGGTGATTTGATACATAAAATTGGGCGATAAATATCCAAGAGTTTATTGTTGTTACTACAAGTTTTTGTAAAATTTAAGTTAACATTTGTTAAGTTTTCATAAATTTGTTTTAATTAGTATGATTATAAACAAAATGGGGCCATTTCTCTTCATCATTTCACACAGGAATCCATTTTTTTTATGTATTCATTGTAATCAAAATGGGGATCGCTATGAGTTGGAATCGACTTGATAGCAGTGGGTTTTTTTTTTTTTTTTAAGAATCAAAAGGAAAACCAAAGTCAACAACCCAAATCCCATTAAGTTTGTTGCTTTTTAGCATTTTGTTTTTTGTAAAGAAGTGACACATTATCATTAAATTTTAAAACTATTTCATTAGAAGGACAGCAGGTTATCCAGGTTTGGATCAGGAAAGTATTTTTTAAACAATGATTTGAAGTAGAATGTTGATAATAGTATGATAGCAACTAAATTTCTTTTTCTTCATAGCCTAGGTTGCATTACCAAAGATTTTTAACTCAGATTTATGGAAACAAAGTGTTGAATTTAAATTAAGAAAAATACTTGATTGAATTTTTCCAAAATGTGCCTATTTATTAAACCAAAAACCAAACTCACTGCCACCAAGTCAATTCCAACTCATAGCGACCCCCTTTTGGTTTCTGAGGTGGTAAATCTTCACTGAAGTAGACTGCCCAGTCTTCCTTCCGCAGAGTGACTGGTGGGTTTGAACCACCAACCTGTTAGCAGTCAAATGCCTTAGGCACTACGCCATCAGAGCCTTTGCCTATTCATTAGTACTAAGTAAATATTGTATTTTAAGATTATTTTAGTTTTAAGTTTTCTTAGAATATACAATCAGACTGAAAAAGTAAATATATATGTATATGTTAATTAAAATAAGATGCAAAAATATTTCCCTTCAAAATATAAATAGCTGAGAAAAAGTTTCCTTCGATAATCTGAACAAGGTTTTTGTTCTTTTTTTCCTAAACTTTCTATTGTGATTTGGGTGAAATTTTACAAAGGAGATTTGTTTTACATTCACCAGTTCATACACATTTTGTTTTGTGACACTGGTTACATTCCCTGCAGTGTAACAGCTCTCTTCCCACTTTCTCCCAGTAACTACCCTTCCCCTGTGTCCTTCTTGCCTCTGCATTCCTGCCTCTCTGCCTTTCTCCCTGTGCAAATAAATGCTGCCCTTTTGATCTTCCATGGTTGATTGTTCTAAGGAGTGCATCTCCCTGGTGTAGTTGTTCAGCTCACAGGCCTGGCTATTGTTTGACTGAGAGGTAAGCCACTGGAATGAGTTCAATTCCAGGCCTGAATTATGACTTGGGGCCATAGTCTCAGAGGTTCCACCACGGACAAACCTTTATTTTAATGACTACAAATTCTTACTGATTTAAAGAACTGACTATCTGTCAAAAAGACCAAAACAAGGTTTTTTCTTTTGAGATAACATTGTCATATTATTCCCTTATTTTTAAGTACTGATATTTTATCAGTTATAATAGAACCATCATTTAATTTCCAGCAGTTTATTGTTTTAATTTCTTCTAGCATATAATAGAATCTTGTTCAACATTATATTCAAAGTTCCCATGAATTCTCACTTTGTTCTATTTTACCTGGCATTTTTGTCATTGTCAGAAAGAAAGTGGAAGGACACCAGAATGTATGTTCAGTAAGGGCAGAGGAATTCATTCTACATATCACTCTTGAGTGTCCTATATGGCAGGTAGTATGCTAGGGGTTAGGAGTACATTAGTGAACAAGACAGACAGTAGGCACAATAAACATTTACAGAAAGAATGCCTAAACAGGCCTCATATGCCAAGTTCTGATAATCATTTATCTTACTCAATTCTTGAAACACCTGAGTTCTGTAGATGATGAAATTGAGGTTCAGAAAGGTTAAGTAAACTACCCAAGAGCATACAGGTAGTGTCAGTACCAGGACTTGCACCCAAATTTGTCTGACCCTACAGTCCACACTCTTTCCATCCCATCACATTGTCCAAGAAAACATAAACACTGTAAGGAATTCATCTGTACCTTCTTTGTTTCACTTGTTTATTGTTTTGTATTATTTTTGATGAGCTCATTGTCTTGAGACTATAGTGTCTCAGACAGGCATATTCATTTCTAGCCCTAACTTTCACTTATACTGTCACTTCCATATAAGGGCATAGGCATGGCTATTCAGGTCCATGAGACAGGCATGGCCAAAGCAGTGCTACCAGTGTCTTTAGTTCTCACTCTTGCTGGATTTTTTTTTCTACAGAGTTAGTTTTCCCAAAAGTGAAGTACAGTTACAGTTATACTCCAAAGTGCCTAATGTTACAAAGTAAGTTATTGTGTCCTCAAAGAGAAGAAATATATTTTCAGAAATTTTGATTATTAAAATACTTCAATTTTTGAAAATGCTGATGCCATTGGTGGAGGGGAAAGGGAGTACTATTTGTTCAGTTATGTTTTCAGGTCAATAGCACAGTGCTCTTTGTATTAGCTGATATCATTATACAGGTCAAGGACAGTAAATCAGTGACAGAGAAAGCGGGGATAATCTGTCCTGCCAAGTAGTTTTCTCTGGTCACTAGAGCAAAGACTTTGGACACTGACCATCAATGGTCTTGTTATTGCTACTTTTACAATTTATGTCAGGCCCCATATATATAGAAAACAGCAATGTATGTTCATCAAATATTAATAAAGCTCTACATGGCAGGTAGTATGCTAAGGTTGGAGACACTTTTGTGAACAGAATAACCAAGGGCCTTGCACATAAGTATAGAGTGGTTTACAGAAAATGTTATTATTACTTACAACAATGTGATGAACCTAAGATAGGAGAAGATGGGGGTTTGGAGAACAATAGCTTAGGGACCTAACCTCCCCCTTGAAGGAAAAGGATGTTCCCTTGAGAAAATGATGTTAAGATTTATTCAGGTTTTCTAATTGGCTTTTAGACTTAAATCTAGTACTTTGAATGAATACATGGTGTGTATCATTCGTCTGGCACATTAACCCTAAATAAAACAAAAGACAGTTGCCAGAGAGTTGATCTTGACTTATAGAGACCCCATGTGTTTCAGAGTAGAATTGTGCTCCATAGTTTTCAATGGCTGTAATCTTTCAGAAATAGATCACAGGTCTGTCTTCCATGGCATCTCTGAGTATATTCCAACTGCCAACCTTTCAGTTAGCAGTTGAGCACTTAACCATTTCCAACACTCAAGGACTCCACATAGTAGGTATTTAATGAATATCTGTTGAACAGGTATGTGAATGTGTGAATGACTGAAAGAATAGAATATTGAACTCTCTATCTGAATAGGCATAACCTTTGAGATCCTTTACTAAATCATTGTTGGTATCAGTGTGTATTTTCTTTGTGTTATCCTGAGTTAAAGTTTGAAAATCATTGTTTGGAGGAAGTTAATTCTGAAGAGTTACAAGGCCAATTTGAACCAGAGCTTTAATGCACAGGGCTGAGACCAGCGTGGGGACAGCTCTAGTTGTTTAACCATCCTGAACCGGAAAGTATATTGCACAGAGGTAGAGTAAGGGCTAGGAGCTCTGGTAGCATAGTGTCTAAGGCATTTGACTGCTAACCAGAAGGCTGGCAGTTTAAACACACCAGCTACTCCTTGGAAGGAAGGTTGGACAATCTACTTCCATAGTGATACCGCCTCGGAAACTCAAGGAGGGGTCGCTATGAGTCGAGTCTGACTCCACAGCACATAACAACAACAGAGCAAGGGCTAGCTCTGTCTCTTGTGGAAAATTCTCCTTATAGGACTTAGAAAATATCACTTTGCTTTTATTATGGGAGCTGACACAGAGTATGGCAGTAATTAATAAGTAGCACAGTTTCTTCTTCAATTAGATATAGATCACATGAGAACAGACACTCTGCTTCCGTAACATTGCCATTCAAAAACACAAAGGATGTAACAAACATCTTTTAGAGTCCTGCTCCCTTCTCTGGAAAGACCCGTAAAACAAAGGAAGGGGCTCTAGTGATTCTGTCAGAATTGTGCAGTCTGACCCTCTAGTCCCAGGCGACTGAGCTAGGAGTAGACCTCTGACTCAAGCTAGCCTATCAGATTCTGTCTCTCAATTTGCTATCTGCAAAGGAAAGAAACAGAGAAGCAGGTCAATTGGTCTGGTGTCATATTCCTGGCAGCATTCTAGAGAGAAAGCCTACCAACTTCAGCATAAGTAATCAAAACTTTTCCATTTGAGTATTTAATTATGTAGAATCTATGAGACATCTGACTACTAACCAGAAGACTGGTGGTTCAAATCCACCAACCACTTCTTGGGAGGAAGGATGGGCAATCTACTTCCGTAGTGATAACGCCTCGGAAATCCAAGGAGGGGTCGCTATGAGTTGGATCTGACTCAATGGCAGCGAGTTTGTTTTTTTAGTTTGGTTATAAGACATCTGAAGGCCTTCTAATAGTACCCATCCCCTTTTATCTTTTGTTAGGTTAGGCTAACATGGT